CGATCTCAGTGACATCACAAGGAGTGGGGTTGCTACTATACCATGACCACCAGAAGACTCACCGGGACCACTGGTGATTTCCAGAACCATCAAAAGCTCCAATAGACCTTCAGTTGAGGATTGCCATTTCAGGACCTCTGCTGGGCCCACTTTTGTCACTACAGGGCCTCCCTCAGTTACACTGAATTTGAAGATGCTCCTAATGGCCTTGTGGAGCCACCTCCTCTGCCGTGTCCTCCTGGCTCTGTGCTTTGTGAAGACATCTGTGGTGGCAGTGACCACTCGGAGCCAGTTTGTCCAGATGTCCAAATCTAGCACCTCTTCAAGATTTAAGCAGCGTGGTTCTTTTTCTAGGAAGTCACCCTTGTTCCATTTTATCCAGAAATGGTTTCCTTTTGAGCCTCTTAAACTTCTTTATATTTCATCTATCACTTAATCCCGATGCCTTTTGAATTATGGGTACCTTTGCCAGATGGCCAGCCCCTGAGAGCCTGTACTGTATCTGCTTCGTCTCTGCCTGCAGGACATTGCCTAGAACGTAGGAGCTACTCAGTAAATATTTGTCAAATGCCTCAATGGTGTTTGCATGAAGAGGCCTTTCTTGTGTACTTTGGGACTCTGGCAACAGGTCTGCAGAGGTGTGGTTCATTCTCTGAACAGTGTTGACTTTCTTAGATGGTGTCTATTCTTATCACCTTAGTACTTTGTGAGCATGGGGGTCACCCCATCCCAGGATGTGCTGCTTGGCTGTTGTTTGATTGGCCTCACCATTCCCAGCCATTTGTTACCTTCGTATCTGATATTGCCTGATGTCTTAAGCTTTCAGGTTGAAGAGCAGAGCTGTTCCCCATATCCATGTCATGTTCAATGGGGAGTCCAGTGCCCACTACTAGGACTCCTCTAAATTCCTGGCATTTTCTTTGTCTGGAAGTATCTTCTGTTTCTGTGAATGGCTTAAAATTTAAACTCCAATGGGTTCTCCATCCCACACAGACTGCATTTTCTTGGGTTGTACTCTTATCTTGTGTCAGGGATGCGTCACTCTAAATATAAATATCTACAGCTTTTCTAGAGACCCCTGAAGAAAACCACCATTGCAGAAGGCATCTGTGTATAGCAGCTGTGCTAAGCAGTATTTGTGAAGATGGGGGTTGCAATGGTGCTATGTTTCTTATTACTGCACATGAAGAAAAACTCCCATGACTCAACTCTCCACTCCCCAAGTAATCTTTGTAAATCTCACCCTACCAAGATCATTTGGCTTTAGTCTCCATACAGAAATTCCAGCTGCAGACCCAAGTCATGGAGGGAGGCAACCCCAACTTCGAAGCCCAGTTACTCAGGCTTAAAGGGGGTGGAAGGCAGATGAGGGGAAGATGACTTCAGCCCTCTAAATTTCTATGTCTTCATCGGTGTGAAATAATGCATACTGAAGGATCAAAACGCATCAACAGCTGCCCTTGTTGTTCCATTCAGTGTTCATTATTGCCCATTGTAAGAGGCAGCAATGTTCTCTCTAACAACAAAATCTTCCACCAGCTGCCTCTAAACTTCACAAGACATTGAGGGGAGGCTTGGACCACCACACTGCCCTCTTCCGTTTGTCAACAGGTTTTTGTAGGGGAAAATAGTTGGCTACTGATTAGTGTCCACATTGATGTCATTGCCTGTGCCCTGAAGGAGTTGAAGCAGGTTTGGATTGAAATATTATTTTTTTCCTCTTTCTGTTATGTAAGTTCTTCCCCCCCAAATAAACTCAGTTCCCTCCAGCCAGCATCCAAGACCCACACTGAACTGCACTATTGGTGGTGCGGAGAGCAATGGGCCAAAATAGGACTGTGATCCTGAGCTTTCAGACTGTGAATGTCCTTGGGGCTCCAGTGCAGACTGACGTGTTCTCCCCTTTCTCCTGGAAAATCATCTGCAAGCCAGTCATAAAGGGCCTCCAACAAGAGTGCTAGACATCATGACTCAGGAGTGAGGCTGTGCGGCTAGGAATTAAAGAAGGAAACAAGTAAAAACTCTTTTATTCCAAGAAGCATTTAATTTGGAGCACTGTATTCAAATAGAAAATCCTTTAATTACTACAGCTAATTTATTCCCCTGTTATGCCATCACAAGTTTGCATGTTCCAGTTAAAGTGCATTACCTGCTTCGACCAAAGTTAACAGTAAGGGAGGGGGTGTGATGGTGCAAGGTAGAGGTGTATTCTCAGCCTGATGCTTTTCACCAAAGTAGTCTCTGTGGTCCTTTCAGGATATGGTTAGCCAGTGCCTCTCCTCATACTTTACTTCCCCCACTTCCCTTCCAAGGAGCATTCCCCATTTCCCTGAGTACTTCTGCCCTTCATCCCTCCTAGAGGTTGTACTCAATATTGCAAAACTGATCTTCCTCACCACAGCCTTGTGTTTTAAAATATAGCTTTTATTATTAGTGTGGTAAGGTTAACAGATCAAGAGAAATCTGCCATTGGAAGGATAATTTATTCCTTACTGTGATCAAAAGGAAGGGGTGCCCTACCATGGGGTGAGCCACACAAGGTGGGCCATGAGGCAGAAGGAAAATGGAAAACTAGGGACCAAGGTCTCAACTTGCTTTCCATGGGAGTAAATGGACATGGCAGGGCAAGCAGGCTCAGAGTGACTGATTCAAATCATTTCAGGCGTCTGAGGCATAGGAGCTGCCCCGAATTAGTTCTCTACTACCTGGACCTGAAGACATTAGGGAAGGTGATAAGGAACTGGAATGTGAGAACCCAATAATGGAAGTGGTTAAGGGTGTGAACTCTGCGTTGGTGGGTTTTTATATGGAAGATCTACTCCCAGGAGCATTTTTGCTCTCTAGGAACTGGTTTGCCCTGGGATGGGTGATTCCTTTAGGGTGAGCCAAGTCTCAGATGTCAACCAATCAGCATACAGAAAATAAAATACACAAATAATTAGCACACTTGGTTATGCCACTCTATTTACTCTACTATATGTAGCTGGTGACTTTTCTTTGACTTCAAAGCTGGCATTCAAGTTTTTCAACCTTGTGGGCACTGCTATGGAGTCCAGCTTTGCCCACCAGTCCATGAAACCTGCACTGTAGAAAAACCAGCCTCCAAGGGTTTCCCATGAGTTCTGTGAAAGTGATATTACCAGATCTTTGTCTGTTCCCCACTATATTGCTAACATGTTTCATGCCACCTGCTCTGTGAGAATCTTCTTTTTAAAAGTTTTTATTTATTTATTTATTTAAGATGGAAAGAGATATACAGAGACAGAAGGACAGAATTACTATCCTCTGGTTGACTCTCCTAAATGCCCATACAAACAGGGCTGGATCAGGCCAAAGTTGGGAGCCAGGAAATAAACCTAGGCCCCAAACATGTGTGACAAATACTTAAGTCATCGTTGCTGCCTCCTAAGGTGCACATTCAGGAAGTTGGAATTGGGAGTGGAATCAGGGTGTGAATCCAGGCACTATAAATGGGATGCATACAATCCAACTGACATCTTAACCACTAGGTCAAATGCCTTCCCCTTTGAGAATTTCTCATTGGTAGTGGGAATGATGATGACTGTTCATGCATGGAAATGCTTGGGTGTAAGTTTGAGAGAGGAGGGAATATGTTTCGTCTCATCTACTCAAATGTTGCCTCTCTCCAAAGTACAGGCAAAACCTCTCCCAAAGCTCTCCCACCCATATGGATTTTTGCCCCCTCATCTCCTCTGATTTTTGTGGACCTTCCAGTTTTAAAACATATGAGTATTGTCTACAGTCACTGAGGGTGTACAGATTTTGTTAACTCCTCTTAGTGTGCACACCTGTCATTTCACAAACTCCTGTACACTTACACTGTTAAGAAGCATAATGAACAGGCACTGTTGGATCAGCAACACTGAGAAAGCCCTTCGAGGCAGCAAAAGCAATGCTGGATGGACTAGGAGAATACTTGTATCTTCTGGATTATTTACCTGATTGGCTGTGCCACTCTCATAGTCTGTATGTGAAAGTCTTTACAGACATGAGCAGAAAGCTCCTTTTATGGAACAGCTGTGACTCTCCCTGCCTTGTTGGAGAGTTTACCTTCTAACCTTTGTTTTTGTTTTTGTTTTTTTTTTTTTTTCAGCTTCCATGGTAGGATTCAGGATGTGTTGTAAATATCATCAGATTTTCGGACTTGGTCATTATAAAATTGGAGAGCGATAACAAATAAAAAAAAATTAAAGGCATTTTTTCCATACTTATCCTTTTCCCCACTTCATCTCATTGAACTAACTGCTTTGCATAAGAAGAAAAGAAAGTAGTGTCCCTGCCTAGAGCATTGCTTCCTTTGCTGACCAGCCCATGGGACAGCATGAGGGCTCATCTCCAGTGTTCTTTGGAGGCTTCAGGCTCCCATGTTCCCCAGATTACTGTGTCATCATCTCCAGGTGATGTTATGGCCCAGTTAATGTAGAAATGGTCACGGCAAGCTGGGAAAAAAAGAAAATATGATGGATCGTGCTAGAGAACTCCCACAGGCCACTGGCTTCCAAGGATGTTTATGGATGGCTTGTATTTATAACCCTCATAGAGGTCAGAACAGAGGAAAGTGGCTAAAATTGCAGGGAGAGTTTGTAGGTAGCGCTCATCTGTCTTGGGAGGTTAAAGCACCTCTCTGCCTGGTGGGAGATAGAACACTTAGGAGACTGGTCAGCTTCCCTGCCAGCAGCCTGATTTTATGGTCATTTGGCCCGGGACTGGGGAGTCTTTATTTCTTTGTGGTTATCTCTGAAATGCAAACTTGTCTAGTCAGTAAAACAGGATTAATATCCATGACACATATCTATTCATGTACAAATTAAACCTGGTGTTTGCCCTCATAAGAAAGCAACCCCTGCTTCCCATCCTCTATAAATGACATCCATTTATCCTAGTCTGTTATGAAGTTTGGATTTCAATTTGGCCAATCTTGGGGGGAAATACACCTTGATTGAGCACAAACTAATTTTTGTCTTTTCTTTCCCCCTCAGGATTATACCTTAACCATGTACTTTCAACAATATTGGAGAGATAAAAGGCTCGCCTATTCTGGGATCCCTCTCAACCTCACGCTTGACAATCGCGTGGCTGATCAGCTATGGGTGCCCGACACGTATTTCTTAAATGACAAAAAGTCATTTGTGCATGGAGTGACAGTGAAAAACCGCATGATCCGCCTTCACCCTGATGGGACGGTGCTGTATGGGCTCAGGTCTGTCTGCCTCTTTGGCATGCATGGTGCACTGGCATTGAATTTATCACTTGAAATGATTTTGATAAGTGAGATCATACCTTTAGATTAATCAGGAAGCATCCATGAAATACTGTGATCGTTACAGAAAAAGAAAGTCTCATAACCGTAAGATGTGGGCATTACTGCTACTATAAATAGTCCTCAAGCAGTTGAAAATAGCTTCCTAGGATTGATTATATGTAATTGGGCTGTCATTCCCTTAGGACGGATTCCCCATATCATAGCCACAAAGGCCTGTAATTAATATTGCCCCGGCAGTGCAGAGGATTTAATAAAATTTAAAGCAATTTGTGCAGTTCAAAAAAACGTCTATTGTGCAGATTATAGGGTATAGTCTCCATGGAGTTTTCTTGAGGTAGTGCCACGAATATTTATGGGAATGACTAGGTGAGAGGCTTCCTGATGAGAACCTCTTTCTCTTGGTCTCGTAATGCAGTCACTCAAATTGGAAAGCTAGGGTACCTTCCTGCGCCTGGAGGAGGAAGTCTGGCTTCCCTCACTGCCCTGGAAACCGCCTGATCCCCCTGCCAATGTACCAGCACTGCTAGTGTTAGTTATCTTGAAAGTTGCCTTGGTAAAGGGTGTCCTTAAAACCCTCTCTCTCTTTCTTTGATTTTGTGCTGATTTTTGTTCTATTTTAGAATTGTGTTTTGGGTGTGCATGTGTGTCTTTTTCCATCTCCTGGCCTACACAAATACCCTTGAGGCCTTTTAGAAGTGGCTTATTGTTTTGAGTGGAACAAATGTGGCTATCTTGGAGAAAAGGTTTATGTCAAAATGTGTGAGTCGGGAGAATTTTAGCTAAGATTTCAACAGCTATAAGTGAAATCAAAGCACTGTACATTTAATTCCACACCAGTGTGACTTTTATTGCTTCAAGATAAGTAAAAGAAATTACTAATGTGATTATTTGAAAATTTTGATAACAAGTACTATTTATCCATTTTTATGGAGTGCAGTGTGATATTTCAATACATATATAGAGCATGTACTGGTCAAACGAGGCAACTGACTTTTCCATTTCCATATCTTTTCGTTTTTGTTTGGAGCTGAGCAGCTCCTCTCTTCCCATCTTTATACAGTCCTTGACATATCCTTAAATATAAAATGTCAAGTGACTTTCTGAAAACCACAGTATATAGCATGAAGTTTGGGTTTTAGCAACATTTTTAACTATAGGGAAAAAAAAGGCACATGTCATCCAAGACATGGTACTGCTTTAAAAATTCTATCCTAGGTTTCTTTGGAAGGTTTGCAGTATGTGATATTTTTACCTGAAAATGAGAGCTGTGGTTGCAAAATTCAGGAGGTCCTGACAGATACATTGGTTGTACAAAAAATTATCTGGGAATCTTGTGAACATAAAATGAGGAGCCATTTGCTTGCTCCCACCCACCCAAAAAATAATCCGAAGTAGAAGAATCCAGTATGTGTATACGTGTGTGTGTGCATAGATGCACATGTGTGTATGCGCATGTGAGAGCAAAAAGAAACAAATATAGAAAAAAACTAATTGACAATTTTTTGGCTTTTAAACAAAACATCCTTTTTAGGTCCTCTCCATTTTTATCTTTGTATTATTTTCTTATATATCTTTTAAAAGCAAAGAACTTTAACTTTTTGATAGAATTATATAATATGCATGAAAGCACTGTAATAAATTCCATTTGATACTGTTGGACTTAGCATCGTAAAAACAGGCATGAGTTAGAAAAATATAACTTTAGCTAACTCTTGATCTATAAATTTGTATGTAGGATTTAAATAAAACATAATAAGCCACAGGAAGCTTTTAATACTAAATTTTGTAAAATTACCTAAAACAAGACCTCTCTGGTGAAATTCATTCTTTATACCACTCAAACAGTCTCTTAGGTCAGTAAATGTATTACAAAATATGTAACTTTTTATTCAGTTGTAGTCTAGATATATTCCTTAGATCTTTATTTAGAACTACACATTTTTGAAGCAATTCTTCAGATTTATGTGGACATGGACAAGACGCCGTAAATAAAATCTCCAACTACAGATCTATCACCATATTCTACATGTGCTTAGCAGCTTTGCTGTTTCATGTGGCTTCTTAGAAATTGTCTAATCTGAAAATGTTGGCCTTGATATTAAAAATAAGTACACATAGCCATAGATTAATTTTGATGTTTGGACACAAAACAGTAAGTTATTCAAAACTCTGATAATTTCATTAAATTAATGCATATGTATATTCTATATAATTCTTTATAAAATGAAGATATGTGTGTATATAAATGGTTTTAGATAAGAATAAGAGCAAATGTGAGTGCTGCCTTTGTGGGTCACCTTCCATCCTCCCCCGTGGGGCAAAACAGGCTTTTCTTCCTCTCACTTTTTCTTGTTGTACTTGTTGGGTCATTTTATAATACGGAAAGCCAAGGGTGGGATATGTAACCCTGACAGTATGTTTAAGTAAATAAGTACAGAGATGCTCTTTGAGTTACTATGGAATTATGTCCTAATATGCTCATTGTAAATTGAAAGCATCCCAAGTTGAAAAAAGCATACTTAACATTCTTATACACTTAGCATACACTTAGCATACTTAACATGCTTGCTTACCAATACAGTGCACTGTCAAGCATCAGTTGTCCACCCTCATGATGGTGTGACTGACTGGGAACTATGGTTTGCTGCTGTTGCCCAGCACCATGAGTGTAGTACTCGTTGCTAACCTAGGAAAAGATTAAAAATGTAAATTTTGAAGTACAAGTTTTACAGAGTTCATATTATCACTGGTAACATCAGGAAGTCAAGAAGTTCTAAGTTGCACTATTAATTATAAGTCCATAATTGTCTGCACCAAGGCATGAGCATAGAGGAGGTCTGGCACAGCTGAGAACACTAAAGTTGAAATCCCCATTGTAAAGGCAGTAGAGTGCTTAGGTTGCTGCCACTGGCTATATGCTTGAGAAACTAGTCAAGCTGATTGTATTTCTGAGACCTCTAAGTTGGATTATTCTCACCATTGAATACTGACCATGGCTCTCACCTTACTTCAAGTATTCAGTAGTTGCCTAAGGGTCAGCCACCATTTAGTGCCTCTGGAACCCATTTCCTATTCGTGTCCAGCCATTGCAGTGTCAGAATCAATGAAGGCTTTTGCTTTATCTAGGATAGATGAAGATCTATGGCAGTGGATGAATTGTCCATGACGTAGGTTTGCACGTCAGTTCAGCCTTATTCTGGGAAATCATTGATCCTTATCTCTGACGACTTGGTGAAGTAGTCCAGTGACCACTTACAATGAAATTTGAGAGCAATCATGTTCTTGTAATGATTAAAGGTCATTTTAAATCTGGCAACTTGAACTTGAAACTTGGGCTAACTCGAGCTTGCGTTAACTAACTTCAGCCTCACTGAACTTAACAATAGACTGAGCCTATTTTGTGCACCCATCATGCCATGTGAGAGAATGCTCTGAATAGGGCACATACACCATCCAAAAGTAGAACGTGAGTTCTTTGAAATGTGGGTAGACAAACCTTTTTGAAGAACTAGAAAAATGTTGGCTGCCTGAGGAACTCTTGTGCCATCACAGTATTTCTGTTTTCCTCTGCATTGAAGTTTTCTTCTGTGAAAATTTGGACTCATTGCCCCTCTCCCTTCTTCCCGATTCATGTCTTCAGTCTGCTAGTCATTCGATGACATTGAATGTCTCACCTTGCACCATTAAGCATACGTTGTCACATGATCTTTTCTTCTTGCCACGCATTTTATATCTCTGGACCATTTCTCTGATGCTAGGACTTGGTAATGGGTATTGCAAAATGTATTTGAATTGCTCCAAGAAGCACCTGGGAATATGAGGTTGAGTAATCTCTATCAAAACAAGGCAACTCATACTTTGCTTGAGAAATGTATTGCAAAATCTGCTAGATAAGGTATTCCAAAGTTTCCATTTGCTGTTGAAAATCTTTTAAAGTTTTAAGGTGCTCATTCCTATACTTTAAAGATTGAGTACAATATTTAAATTAATCTAAAGTGTGTTTCAGAAGATTCAAATGAAGTCATTTAATTAGTTTGGCTGTCACTTAACCCCAAAATTGTGCTGTATAATAAACCTTGGTCTCGTCAAATACCTGTCTACCCTGGAACAAAGGTAAGCTTACAGAGGAAATGGTGTCCATGAGATTTGAGTGCAGGTATGCCTAACAAAGCCATTGTTTTGTTACTATCTCCCAGTTACTTTTAAATAACTAAGTAGAATTTTGATGAATTGCTTTCCAGAAGGGATTATGCCAATATGAAGCTTATATTTCCAATAAAGTATATATTTGTTTAGGGATATGATGCCTGAACCGGAGTTCATCAATGTTTAGGTCACTGTAAATAATCTATGCCTTTTTTGTCTCTTAAAGCTGGAGAAAAATCAACTGTCTGGCTCTAAATTCAGGCTCTTGCTTTTCTTTGTATCCCCCTCTCCCAGCACAATCATTCTTCCCTTCCTTAGAAGGACGTTTAGGCCTTCTTTTCAAACCTCCTCCCTCATTGACATTGTACAGTGATACCTCATACAGCGACTTATTTGTCTTCCCATTACAAAGAGACCATGTGATGTCCTGTACCTTGCTCTTGGACATCTCTCAAATTAGAGCAGATCCCTGACCATTTTGAGGGCCAGCTTCTCTTTGACATCCTTTCCCTACTCAAGGGTGTTGGGTCCTGTGATTCTAGCTGCTTCTTTCATACAGCTATGAGGGAACTTCCAAACAGTACTGAAAATGTGAATTGTGAAAACTTGTTTTCAAAAATATTTTGCATTAAAATAGACTTATTTTTAATTCTGTCTCTGTGAGCTTTTTGTTGTACCCTCCTGTTCTCTCTCATCATGCTTCCAGTGTGATAAGTTTCCTTCTGCTCTTCAGCACTATCAAGGATGTCTCTGTCCCAGAGACTTTTTTTTTTTTTTTTTTTTGGACAGGC